AGGAGTTTAAGTATCTCGGGGTCTTGTTCACGAGTGAGGGTAGGAGGGATCGGGAGATCGACAGGCGGATTGGTTCGGCGTCTGCAGTGATGCAGACGCTGAGCCGATCTGTCGTGGGGAAGAGGGAGCTGAGCCAGAAAGCCAGGCTCTCGATTTACCGGTCGATCTACGTCCCAATCCTCACCTATGGTCATGAGCTTTGGGTAATGACCGAAAGAACGAGATCGCGGATACAAGCGGCCGAAATGAGTTTCCTCCGTAGGGTGGCCGGGCTCAGCCTTAGAGATAGGGTGAGGAGCTCGGACATTCGGGAGGGACTCGGAGTAGAACCGCTGCTCCTCCGGATCGAAAGGAGCCAGTTGAGGTGGTTTGGGCATCTGGTCAGGATGCCTCCTGGACGCCTCCCCGGGGAGGTGTTTCGGGCATGTCCTGCCGGCAGAAGACCCCCGGGTCGACCCAGGACACGTTGGAGAGGTTACATCTCCAATCTGGTCCGGGAACGCCTTGGGGTCCTGCCGGAGGAGCTGGTGGACAAGGCCGGGGAGAGGACGGCGTGGAGCTCCCTAATTGGGATGCTGCCCCCGCGACCCGGACCCGGATAAGCGGAGGAAGACGACGACGACGACGTAACTTTAAATATTCAACCGAAAAAGAGGCGAGCTGAAGAAAACCTAGGGACTACTTGAGCAACAGTGAAGCAATCACAGCGAGATCCGTTACTGTCTGTGTGTGTGCATGGATGAACCGGACGGACTGCGCTCCCAGCCGGCTGCAGTTTTGTGTGTAGGGAGGGGCGGGCACTCTATGTGACTGGCCAATCACAGAGCATGAAGACAGTCAGTTACCCAATGAGGATTTTCCTTCAGCACGATTACAGATATTTACTAGTTTTACTCGTTTCATGCTCGTATTCGTCAAAAATGCGTTATCAGAAGGTCATCTTGCACGTTTAACCACCTCATCCAGAAGAAGGGATCCAGGGTAAAGGGTAAAACAATCTCACATGTCGTTACCTCATGACCAAGCTTTCCGATGCTGAGAGGGCGTGTTCTGAGGGTTTTGTTAAAACCAAATCCCGCAGCAAAAAGTTCAGTTCTTGAAGCATACCAGGAGACGAGGGACCCCAGTCTCTACTACGCATTCTGTCACGCCGATAGTCTTGCTTCGAATAAACGCACCTGTAACCAGCTGACGCAAAACTCCTTCAGAGTTATTGATTTTGAGATGCAAATAGTTTCATCAGTCGTGTGACCCACGGAGACATCTCAGGACCGATTTGGTCGCAGTAAGGTGCCAACCTACCAACCTCGTGCCCGGAGGACATCGTCTCCACCTGACATCTCGGATCCAGAAGAGGGTCTCCTGATACTGGGTGAGGTAGACACTTTTGACAGATGGCGTCTGTATGCTATTCTTCCTAAGAAACGACTCAGTTAGCTGCAAAACCAACTTTTCACCCAGAAACGCTTCTCTCGCTGAAAGAAACCTTCTGATATTCATTCACGCATCCAAAAACTCCCATTTTCATTTTAGCTTCCATTCAGTCACAGGTTTGCTTTTTAAAACAAGTTTTAATGTCAAATTGTCTGTTAAATATGTCATTTTTTAAAAGTGTTAGTAATTAATTCTTAACTTTAAAAACTTGACTCTTCCTTCAAATTAAACACAGACAGGTGTATATGTTTGGTTATTGAAAAAGCAAAGATTCCTTAAACTTCTCATTCAATAAATAAACTTTTGCTATTAAATTTAATTATCTTAAATTAAACATTAATCTTTGGTATTACGTCCCCGGCTCTCTAGGAGTGATGAAGAGGGAGTAATAAAAGAAGTGTGCGGGTGAAATAATAACAAAGAGCTGTGTCGCAAAAACAGAACGTTTTATTACCAAAAGGGTGCACAGAAGGGTATTTACAACAACAATATATATATATAACAATATATATATATATATATATACAAAGCTAACAGGACTATATACAAAGGGGAGAACGGAAAAAGCCACCCCAGAAGGGAGTGGGGATAAAACAACCGAGAATAATAAGAGCTTTCCTGATAGGCAGGAAAGCTCTGGGGAGATCCAAAGTCAAAGTCAAATATGTTCCGAAGTCTAGAAGCCAAATTGTCAAATCTTAAATATCCAAAATCCAAGAGAGTGTGTAAACCGAAGACTAGCGAGCGAAACAAGTTTTACCAAAAGCACACGAGGAGAAGAGAATAGTATAAACTCAAAGAGTCTACACTACCCTGGACCTTCTCACTGAATGGGAGGTGAGGCGAGCCTTTTAACTGAGTGACCAAGTGATGACTAATAGAGAACAGCTGCAAAGGAAACCAAATGAGGAGGGAGCTGCGGGGGCCATCTAGTGGCAAGCGTACGTAACATTTGGATTAAAAATAGCCCAAGCTCGTTGGCAGGGGCGGCGTTAGGCCCGGCTACTTGGGCTGAAGCCCCGGATGTTTCATGGAAAGCCCCGGATCTAAATCGAGGAAGTAACATGCAGTACCAAAGTCCAACAGAGAGGGAGCAGCTGGCAGTAGTTTGTATACAGCCTGCCTGAGCCTCCACCACTGAAGAAGAAGCCCTTCAGCAGCCGGCTTCTTCTGCGGTGCCTGTTTTTTCTACAGTCTCTGCCTGAAACGCATGAGTGAAGATGGACATAAGGATGTTTTTAGACCAAAAGTACCGCGACAGAACCCCAACTTTGATGAGACTGGTGTTGACTCAGGTTTGTGAGTCTTATTTGAAAATATTTGTTGTGCTGCTGGTTTGCCTAAAGTTAGCTTACTATCAGGTAAAGTTGTTGGAGAAAGAAAGGGAATATTTACTATCATCTCACACTAAACACTAACAGGAACAATACTCTGCCCTGAAAATGCTTAATATGTAGCTTCAGATTAAAAATTATGTGGTACAAGACATATATGATGTTGACTAGTGCGTGTGCATGCCGCGCATGTGTGTGTGTGTTAAGCCCCGGATGTTCTTCAGTCCTTAATCCGCCCCTGCTCGTTGGCCTATGAACTTCTATCGAATATGGGCATAATGTTCACTTAAGAAGTGGGGGGTGGGGTGGGGGTGGGGGGTATCTTTACAGAATGCTCCAATGGGAAACAGGCTTCAACACAAACAGTTGTTTTCTGCTTGGTCCTAGAGCTCAACCAGTGTCAATTTAATATAGCGTAATGTTGTTTTTGGTTGGTAAAAAGTGCAGGGGTCAAAACTTGACTTTGGAAAAAGTGGGGGGGACATGTCCCCCCTGTCCCCTATCCAAAATTACGTCCATGCTATCGCATATATAATATCCTATATATTTATATATGATAGAAGCTTCATTGGCAACTTGTTTGAGCTTTTCTCAGAATCTAACAAAGCTGATAGCAAACAGCGTTAATTCTAGTATGTAGTTAAACACGCTACAATCACAGTTAGTGAAAGAGTATGAAAATGGAGGTCTTTGAATCCATCGTTGCAACATATAGACTCAAATGCCTCCAACAGTCCCATCCATATTCCAAAAAAACCTTTAAACTGCTCGGAGGGTTCAGATTTTTGCTCAAATGTCATTTTGACATTTCTATGATTCCTTTAAAATTGTCAAACTTCTACAAACAAGCTTTGGATTTTGGGAAGTTGCTTTTTAATCACAATTTAACTCGTCACAACTCTCACACAAGTCTCTTTTCTAGTCTGACTGGTGGGACAACGCAGTGTGCTTATTTATGACTTGATACAAACGGAAAGCTGTTGTCCTCCGAGGATTTTTTAAACAAAAACAAGATTACGGTTTCTGATAATTGTTATATTACATTTTGTACAGCAGTCCCCTTACCCTCTATAAAACGTAGATGCAACACCACGCAGTATTCAGTAATCCAAACTCGCTTACCCCCACTAACAATCGACAACATTTTATCACACAATACTAAATGTGGTGACTGATTACGTCAGCCCTCCAACAGAAAAGATATCATTTTAATGTTAAATCTATCTATCTATCTATCTATCTATCTATCTATCTATCTATCTATCTATCTATCTATCTATCTATCTATCTATCTATCTATCTATCTATCTATCTATCTATCTATCTATCTATCTATCTATCTATCATCTATCTATCTATCTATCTATCTATCTATCTATCTATCTATCTATCTATCTATCTATCTATCTTGTGTGTGTGTGTGTGTGTATGTGTGTGTGTGTGTGCACGCTGTCTTCTCCATCCCCAGTGAGTTGTGGAGGATGGCTGCTTATACTGAGCCAGGATCCTCTGGAGGTTTCTTCCTGTTAAAAGGGAGTTTTCCTCTCCACTGTCGCTGCATGCTTGCTTAGTATGAGGATTGCTGTAAAGACTCTGACACTAGTCAGTGACTCGATGCGACCTGCTGGGTTCCTTATATAGGAAACTTTTTACTGATTGGCTTAATGACCTGACCAGTATTGAAGAAGAAAAGAAAATATCATTTCTATAGCGCCTCTCAAGATAAAAATCACGAGGCGCTTGAAAAGTTTGGAATGTTTACAGTGTGAAGGTCCCTGAGATGCCTCTTGTTGTGATTTGGCGCTATTGAAATAAACTTGAATTTAATTATGGTCTGAGAATTTACTCATTATAGCACAACGATCAGTGAGAGGAGAATATTGCAGCTGGAGGCTAAAGATAGAAGATTACTCGTTATTACCAGTAATCTGAACGTTGAGAGAGGTTGAGTTGGAAAGTTTTTCCAAATTAAGTTTACGCTGAACCTCAACAAGGCCGAGTGCTAGAAAATTCTGATATCAGTTGGTTATAAAGACCGATTTGGAAATCCATCTTGTTTTTCCTCTGGAACCATATGAAGTCAGGTGCAACAGTCCCGTTGTGTTTTCAACAGTAAGCCGGTTGTTGCAACCGTAGGCTGCACAGAAACTCGCATAGCTGCTCTCTCTGCATGGTCTTTGGAGAGTGAGGAGACCCATCCAATATGGCGGCGACGCTGTTACGCTCTCCAGCGCCCTGATGGAAGTTCGGTTCCTGTGAAGGCGGAAGTCACAGGAATTTACTTCCCTGTGGCTAATAATTCTTCCCCTTCTGGAACATCTGAAGGAGTACAGCTTCACCTGTCCAGACATGTCTACTGCCTACAAGAACAGGTGAGTTTTTCTCCTCACGTGGGATTCAGAATGCTCACAGAGGTTCCAAAGGTGCTAGCTGTTGCTAAACTTTCAGCCACAGAGCTGGCATTTCCTTCCAGCTAACATGCTAACCAACCAAAGGCTAACTCAGGCAGCTGAGCAATAATTTAAGTAACTATTCATAAATGATGTTAACGTCAGGTGTGGTTAAAATGTCGCGTGTCACCTCAAACCAAAAGCCGGTGTATTTTTAACGCTTACATGGTTGGTTTAATGTTAGCATTAGCTTCCTTCTAGCTAGCACATCAGCTGACGTCCTCGGCTATCGAAGTGCTGACAGCGTCCATCAGTCTGACACGTTTCTGGGTTTTAGACACAATGAGAATCAGAGCTGCAAGCTGTTTACATAATCAGCTGTTTACACGATCAGCTGTTTACATGATGGGGAACATTCTTGTCATAATCTCTAAAAAGCTGCAGCAAAGTCTGGCTGGAAGGGGAAGAGTTCTGTAGTAACGGGATTCTGCTCGGATCCTTTAGTGGATCCGGTTCTGTCTGGTAACCTGGACCGGACTGCTTCACCTCATCAGTCTGAACTTTAACCCCCTAAAGAGATTGAATCTGAAAAATCCTGACCTTTGACCTTTTGCCTTCAGGATACAAGAGTTTAAAGCAGCCTTAAGGGAAGAAAGGGTGAACCTGGCGACCCTGAGGGAGCTGTGTTTCAACGGTAATCCTTCCAGTAGTTATTCCACACTCAGGTGATGTCCTCTTTAACTCCTGCTTTGGGTTTTATCAGGAATCCCGTTTGAAGGAGGCATCCGGTCGCTGTGCTGGAAGGTCAGCTGTTGTCCTCCTGCTGCTTTGGGTTTTACCTACAACCTTATCGTAAACGGATTTCTGTTCTGAAACATTTTAGATCCTTCTCAACTACCTGCCCCTCGATCAAACGCTATGGGAGTCCTTCCTAAAGAAGCAGAGGTCAGTAGAAGTCACTGTTGTGTTTGAGCTTCTGCTCCTGCTGGAGGAGCTCTGGTGTCTCAGGGTGACGGGAGAACGTAGCTGTAGGTGAGGACGGACATCCTCCCTGTGGTACCTGGATGCGACCCCTGAGTCACTCGGACACCTGCTGGTGAGGGAACATCTTCCTGCTGTGACTGCTTCCTGTTTCCTGACAGGGAAGTTTACTCTCAGTTCCTCAGAGAAATGATCATCCAGCCGGGCCTGGCCAAAGCCAACATGGGCCTGTCCAGAGAAGACGTCACACTGGAGGACCACGTAAGTCTGATCCTAACCCGACCTGCTTCCCGTCACTCAGATCTGTTTCTGTCTGGATTCATTCGAGTCAAGTTGAGACGATAAGCCATGTTCTTGTTTCAGCCTCTGAACCCAAACCCAGACAGCAGGTGGAACACCTACTTCAGAGACAACGAGATTTTACTGCAGATAGACAAAGACGTCAGGTAGGACCTCCTAATGAAACCAAATCCAGCGGAGACATCAGGTTACTGTCATCTGGCTGTCATGTCTCTGCTGGCTGAGTTTGCTGTCGGGTCCTTCCTGACTCAGACGGGTTCTAGACCCATGGTGAGAACTTTTCTCACAGGTTTGAGACTCGAGAGGGAAACGAAGGACCCTGGGGAACTTTTTAAATCCTGGTTGTTTCTAAAGTTTCCTCTGCGTGAGGTTCTGAGTCCAGCTGTCTCCCCCCCCCCCCCCCCCCCCCCCAGGCGGCTCTACCCAGACATGGCGTTCTTCCAGAGACCGACAGACTACCCCTGCCAGCTGATCCTAGACCCTCAGAACGATTACGAGACGCTCCGCCGGCGGGTCGAGCAAACCACTCTGAAGGCTCAGACTGTGAACCGAAACCGCAGCGGCGTCACCAACGTGAGTCTGGGCCTCGGGAGGGGCGGCGACTTTATACGTGAACAAAGTGTAGAAGGCCTTTGAAGAGTTCATCAGTTTTTACTTCTCTGTATTCAGGTTGCTTTACGTTTGCTTAAACCCCCCCCCCCACAGGTGAGCTCACCTGGAAAGGCTCTGAATCTGTACCCGTCTAATGAGTACGAGGTGTTGCCCAACGGCAGCGAGGCGCACTGGGAGGTGGTGGAGCGAATCCTCTTCATCTACGCCAAACTCAACCCCGGCATCGCCTACGTCCAGGGCATGAACGAGATCGTCGGGCCTGTCTATTACACGTTCGCCACCGACCCCAACAGCCAGTGGAAAGGTAGGAACAGCTGATTCGCGTTGGCGGCGGCGGCGGGTTCTGATGGTTGTGCCTGATGTGTTCTTCAGAACACGCCGAGGCCGACACCTTCTTCTGCTTCACCAACCTGATGTCTGAGAACAGAGACAACTTCATCAAGAGTCTGGACGACTCCCAGTGTGGCATCAGCTACAAGATGGAGAGCGTCTACGCCATGCTGAAGGAGAAGGACCTGGAGCTGTCGCTGAAACTGGTACCGCTGGGGTTCTGTTGGGAGGGGAGGAGGATGTGACCTGGTTGCCATGACAACCGCAGCCAGTCAGACTAGGGGCTCTGCTGGGTTTGTGGGAGTTAAATGTCTCCACATGTTTTAGTTTATTATGTTTGCTCTTCAGTCAGCCCAGGGGACTAAAGGTGTTTGTAATCTGCTGGATTAACTCTGGATTAGCAGCCTTCAGATCAGTTTAGATGTTTATTCTGTTAGCAGGCCAGAGTCTCTGGTCACTGAGACCTTCTGACCTCGGCTGCCGTGTGATCCGTGATGGTTTTGCTCTACAGGAGGAGCAGAACATCAAACCTCAGTACTTCACCTTCCGCTGGCTCACCCTGCTCCTGTCTCAGGAGTTCCTCCTGCCGGACGTCATCCGGATCTGGGACACCCTGTTCTCTGACAAGGACCGGTTCCACTTCCTGATCCTGGTCTGCTGTGCCATGCTCATGTGAGGGCTCGCTGGAAACTTTCTGAATCCACAGATCTGACAGAGCCGGAGGTCGCCGATCCTCCTGGATCTAACGTCTAAGAAGGTTCTCTGGGTTCTTTTCCCAGGATTTAGCCTGAAGAACCCAAAAGGACCTCTGTCCCACCAGAATCAGTTCTAGTCCACTAAGGACTGCCCGGGTTTCTAATGAAACTTTCTCACCTGGAGAAGGTACCTGGGGGGGTGGGGGGGGGGGGGGTATAGAGCTTACCTACTTCTGGTGCAGGACAGCTGACCCGCTACCATCTGGAGAAGTCTCCACCCGGCTCAGTGTTTCATCTGAACCAGCCAATCAGAACTTAGAACGCGTTAAGAGATGATGTTTAAAGCTTTGGCCCCACAGTCGAGGTGTGAAAATGTTCTCCGCCCTCCACCACCTGCTTCAGCCGCTGAGAGGAAACGGGTGGGACAGAAAAGTCTTCTAGGTCGCATGGAAAATTGGTACACATGGCTCCGCCCCCTTGGCTTAGGACCATCCACCGGAAGGAGAGGGCGGAGCGTGTCTCTTCTAGTGGAAGCTAACCATTAGCATTAGTAACTCCACCACACAGCAGAACTTCTCCAGGCTTGTGTTGTTTGTGGAGATAAAACGTCAATGTTACAGAGTCATGTTGCTGTTAGCCAATCAGAGAACAGGCTTCTCATATCATGAATATTAATGAGTATGCCCCCCCCACACACACACACACACATATACACTCTTCTGACTACCCCCTGAAACGAGCGCCACCGAAAAGGCCTCTGATTCATTCATTCATTCATTCTAGAGACCACCTCAGCGGACACACTAATGACTGAATGACACGTTTAAACCCTGAACTGGGTTCTGGGCGTTTGGGTTTTCCACCCAGTCTAATGGAGGTCACAGGGGTCGGCGTAGATTCTTCGGTTTTTCTCTGATTGTTTGTTTCTTCGTGTTTCTGCTCAGACTCATCCGGGACAACCTGCTCTCCGGAGACTTCACCACCAACATGAGGTCACTGCAGGTAGGAGTTTAAAGTGTTGTCCACGTCTGACCTCAGGGTCGGGTTCTGGTTAACCCCACCCGTGTTTAGAGCTCACTAAACCAGCTTCAGGAACCTACGGCGTTCTATCAGAACTGGAATCAGAACCAGGGATTCTACGAGTCCCAACCAGAGGATGCATTAAACCAGATCTCAGGAGGCGGGCCTTCTGCTGGTGGACCTCTGACGGTTCCGCTGAATAATCTGTTAAAGTCAGCTGATGATTTCCTCCTGACACCTCCTTTGCTCTTTCTGTTCCAGGATTATCCGATCTCAGATGTTCACCTAATTCTGACCAAAGCTAAAGACCTGCAGGACAACTCCTCTTAACCCCACGTCCTCTAGTGTCCCCCATGTCCCCCATGTCCCCATCCTCTCCAGATGCCAGCTGGACGTCTCCTGATCGGATCGTGAGTCCTGTTTCTAAACTCTGATGTTGAGGAACCATTGATTGTTTTGGCAGGAGACGCCGCGTCCTCCTTTATGCATACTGGGGACAACCCCCCCACCCAGACAGGGGAGGGGGTGTCTGCTGGTGGGTGGAGCCTCTGTGTTAGTTTGTCCTAAACTCCTCCCACTGATCGTGTCTTCTCATCCAATCAGAGCGCGTTGTTTGAATGTGAGGGACAGGATTTCCTCCCGTGTTTAAGGAGGTGAAGCAGGACGTCACGATGTTTTTATCCTGATGAACATGAGGAGCGACGTGCTCGACTTCCTGGAGTGGAGTTCTGACCCGGTTAGAGCTCCACTGCGTGATGTGAGGCTGCTCCAGAACCAGTTCTGTCCCATTCCCGTTGGCTGGAAGTTGTAGTGATGAAGGATGGAGAACGCTGAGGCCGTCCTCCTCGTGTGGACCAGAGACGGAGTGATGTCATCATTATCAGCTTCCTGTTTATAAATGCTTGATGGAAGTTTTCAGTCGCCACCCATTCTGGTATTTGGGTCGATGCTGACTTCAGGTGAAGATGAAGTGTTAGCATTGGTACCGTGAGTTGGAGCGTAGCGTGGCCCTTTCCTCCCATCCAGCCGTTTGTGTTTAAACCTGCTTCTGATGAAGGCGGCGGGGGAGGAGTCACCCACGTGCTTCTGTTGGAGTTAGGTGCAGCTTTTTATGCGGCGGTCACAGTGACGCGTTCTGGACGGGTATCTGGTATCAGGACGGGTATCAGGTATCAGGATGGGTATCAGGTATCAGGATGGGTATCGGGTATCAGGTACCAGGACGGGTATCAGGATGGGTATCAGGTATCAGGATGGGTATCAGGTATCAGGATGGGTATCGGGTATCAGGTACCAGGACGGGTATCAGGATGGGTATCAGGTATCAGGATGGGTATCAGGCATCAGGATGGGTATCAGGTATCAGGATGGATATCGGGTATCAGGTACCAGGACGGGTATCAGGATGGATATCGGGTATCAGGTACCAGGACGGGTATCAGGTATCAGGATGGTATCGGGTATCAGGTATGCAGACTGGTATCAGGTATCCGGACTGGTATCAGGTATCAGGACGGGTATCAGGTATCAGGATGGATATCGGGTATCAGGTACCAGGACGGGTATCAGGATGGATATCGGGTATCAGGTACCAGGACGGGTATCAGGTATCAGGATGGTATCGGGTATCAGGTATCCAGACTGGTATCAGGTATCCGGACTGGTATCAGGTATCAGGACGGGTATCGGGTATCAGGTATCCGGACTGGTATCAGGTATCAGGATGGGTATCAGGTATCAGGACATGTATCAGGTACCAGGACGGGTATCGGGTATCAGGATGGGTATCAGGTATCCGGACTGGTATCAGGTACCAGGACGGGCATCGGGTATCAGGATGGGTATCAGGTATCCGGACTGGTATCAGGTACCAGGACGGGTATCAGGTATCAGGACATGTATCAGGATGGTATCGGGTATCAGGTATCCGGACTGGTATCAGGTATCAGGATGGATATCGGGTACCAGGACGGGTATCAGGTACCAGGATGGGTATCAGGTACCAGGACGGGTATCAGGGCGGGTATCGGGTACCAGGACGAGTATCAGGTACCAGGACGGGTATCAGGATGGTATCAGGTATCCGGACTGGTATCAGGTATCGGGATGGGTATCGGGTATCAGGACGGGTATCAGGTATCAGGATGGTATCGGGTATCAGGTATCCGGACTGGTATCAGGTATCAGGGTGGGTATCAGGTACCAGGACGGGTATCGGGTACCAGGACGGGCACCAGGACGGGTATCAGGTATCAGGACGGCATCTGGATCTACAACCTGCCCGTTGGCATCAGATCAACAACTCCGGGAAGGAATGACTTTGTGGCATTTTCTCTGACAGCTGAAGAACGTAGCCTCTTAAATGTGGTCTTTTTAATCATGTGTATGAACTTGGTGTTTTTCAGTCATTTCATCACAAATCAAAGCTCTTTTTCTTCTTCTTTTGCCAAACGAGCCTTTAGTGACTCTGACAGTAATTGTAATGAAAACATGGAACCAGTGTTTTGTTTCCATCCGTTGTTTAGCTTGGACCTGTTGTTCAGGTCTGTTGTGACACTAAGCGGTTAGATGTTCCACCACATCAGTGAACCTCCCAGTGCTGCCGTGTAACTTCATGACCGTTTTTACTTCCACTACATTCAAAGTTCACGTGTAGGACCTGCAGGCTTTTGTTTTCGCTGCGCGTCGTAATGTTGCCGCCACGGTTCTGATGTTTTCCAGCCAAAACTCTCCTCCTTCCTCCCAAATCACCGGCAGGGAGGCGAGTGGAGATGGTTTGGGTGCAGTCTGAGACCTGACCACTAGATGGCGCTCTTTCCCTGCACTTAGAGAAGCCTGATGAAGAAGCTCCAAACGGTTCTGCCCAGATTCTGGCTCTGTCATCAAACCTTTAAATCCAGAACCTCGCCCGCTTGTGGCTCACCTCCAACATTCACGATGAGGGTTCTTGGAATTTAAAAGTTTGGGAAAAGACGTGTGCAAGATGTGTGGAAACCGGAGAAAGGAGGCACGCTGGGAGGAGATGGAGACCAACGAAACTAAACCGAATGATTCATGGATCATATTTACAAAAACCACGTTTAAAGTCATAAATATGGATCTGCTACAGTCTGTAGAGCTCCTGACACACGCCAGAGTAGCAGCATGAATTTAACCCTCACCACACCCGAAGGTCCTTGTTGTTCTGGGGGTTGTTTCTCGTAAATGATGGGTGTACTGTGTGTATTTATTTCTACACTGACAGTTTTGAGATGATCGATCATAATTTCTGTTATTTGCATGTTTTCTATTTTGTAAGCTGTTTTAGTACGTGTTTAAATAATTGTACATAATTGTTTTTACATGTTTAAAGATGTGAAATAAAATAAAAGTGTCCTTTTAAAATCATTTATGTGTTTGTATATTATTCTCCTCAATTAGCGCTGAGAAATAAGCAGTTCTAGTTTGTCGAAGCTTATTTTTATAAAGCACAAGACTATTTTTCCAGGAGAAGTAGGACTGCTCCTGGTGTGTAGAGCGCCACGTTCTCTCCAAGTTTCTGGAGTTTTGTTTTAAAGTTCGTAAATGAGAATTAAACCAGGGAGCCAACTTCCTGTCCCTAATTACCTTCTCTTTAAAGGGGCAACATCATCTAATGCACCACGTAAAGAAGAAGTAACAGTATAAACTAAGGCATCAATTTGTGAGGGGCTAGAAATGAGAATATTCCCTCTGCTATGTTCCTCTGAGATGCTGAAGATAGTAAAGATGCAGCAGCGTTGTCAGATAGAGACCCAACACACATCACTGTGGTGTTACTACTGCCTCAAGACCTTATAAAGCACCTGGGTTATTAAATCTGAAGCAAAGCTAACAATAGATGGAATATATCCATCTAACTTCATAGCCAGACTGAGGTGAACAGATGGAAATAAAATAATTATCTAGATGCATAAAAATAAAATTCAGTCACTAGTGACACGTGGATACTAATGAGTGCATCCTCTGGGCTGCAGGACTAAAAGCTCTGAGTGGATCCAAGCAATGGCAGGCCTTCACGAGTGTGGACACGTGAGGATGTCCGCACGAATGACTCAAACAGAGGGAGGGGCCAGGGACTCCTACTGCCCCAAGATAAATCAGCACACCTGTACTTTACCAGTCTCAGTCAAGACTCCAAAGCGCTTTACCCTACAGTGAATCATTCATCCATTCACACACTGGTGATGAGCAGCTACGCTGCAGCCGCAGGCACCATGATTCTCTCCAACCACCAGCAGCACGATGGCTGCAGAAACGAAGAATCTGCTGATGTCCTACAGTGAATGGAGGAGCCGTGTGTGTGTGTGTGTGTGTGTGTGTGTGTGTGTGTGTGTGTGTGTGTGTGTGTGTGTGTGTGTGATTGTCCTGTGTTGCCCTGTGATGGACTGGCTCTCTGTCCAGGGTGTACCCCGCCTGAATGCCCGTTGACCGCTGGAGATAGGCACCAGCCCCCCCACGACCCTACATGGACTAGCGGGTTCAGAACATAATACACACACACACACACGGATGGATAGATTTATGATGGATGAATGGTGGATGGATGGATGGATGGATGGATGGGAGATGTAACATGATTTAAAGGCATGTTTTGAATCCACAGTTGCAACTAAACACTCGTCCTTTAGAGGGCGCTGTCTCAAAAGCAAGTTCTTACACACCATACTTCCGGTCAGTCTGACCCACATCATCACTAACCCTGTGGTACATCACAAGACTTCTTATCTATCTTCTCCGAATAAAGTTGATCATTTCTGGCGCATAAAATGACTTTATGATGTTATAAGTTATTGTTCGAAAGGCCACCAGGTGGCGCACTTGCGGACTCACGCTCTCAGAGCAGAGGAGGCCACCGAGCAGAGCAGGTGGAGGAGAGTTATACTTCGCTAGTTCCCAGGTTAAGTCAGTTTTGTGTGCGTGAATGACTGCTAAGTAAGTAATCCTTTGTTTACTGGACCTGCTTACATAATGTGTTAGGAATACGTTTGTTTGCCGTGGTGTTCTGGAATGTTCCTATGTCATAGTTATGCTTGATAGTTCTGTCATGAATCTGCACTGCCTTATTGTATGAGAGTAGGTCCCTGTTGCCTATTTTATGCATGTGTGTAGGTTGCAGTGTTGGATGTGAGGTGGTTTATAGCTGTAAAAGTGAATAATTTGGTTTAGAATCTCAGAATATTTGAGTGTTGGTAAATCCCTCAAATGACCACTAGATGTCCTCCTTGTAACATGTCTGCGCTGGCAGTTGACCCAGAGGGTTTTTAGCTGGTGTGGCCATGTAGACTGGGTTGTCTAGACCAAGGTGATCTGGACCTGCTGATTATTATATTATTTTCTGTTTAGAGGTTTTTTTTTCTCCTCCTATGTTGTTGTATTTGAACAAATGGGGCAGAATATATTTTATGTTAATCTGTTCTTCCTGTATTATTCTTTTCCTTTCTTTAGACCACACTCACCTACCAACATCCCTGTTAACTCTGGGTAATTCTTAATGAGTTGAATACTCATTGCTCAACCCTGCATCATTGTTCTGCGTGCCCCTGTTAGATTGCTGTTGCTACTACTTTTCACCTGAGAATAAAGAGGCCAAGTTGAAATAAAGCCTGAACTTGTGTTCTTACCGACACCCCAGGAAGACACCCTTTAACTCCCTCCCTGATGCAGTCCATCTACCTACCAACAACAGGCAATCTAACACTGGTCCTTCGAGCCGGATTTAGTGCATTTCCTGGAGACAAGTCAGTAGTATGCACTAAATCCGGCTCGAAGGACCAGTGCTCGATTGCCTGTTGTTGGTAGGTAGATGGACTGTATCAGGGAGGGAGTTAAAGGGTGTCTTCAAGGTTCAAGGTTGTCTTTATTAATCCCCAAGGGGGAAATTGAATTGCCTTGGACAAGTAAACACAACATGCACATCCACACAATAAAACCTTCACTGGTCCTGATAAAA